ATTTACTTAAACATACTTTGTGGGCTGGGATATGGTCTATTTTGGAGAAAGTTCCATGTGCTGCTAAGAAGAATGTGTATTTTTGTTGTCGGATGGATACCTATTAAGACCATTAAGGTTGGATACCTATTAATACCTATTAAGGCCATTTGTTTGAAGATATGATTCAATTCTGATATTTCCTTGATTTTTTGTTTAGTTGACCTATTTGTGACAGTGAGATATTGAGGTCCCCCACTGTGATTGTTAATGTTTATCTGATCATATTTTTTAATGAAGTTGTATCAATGTTCCATATATATATATATACACACACACACACACACATATATATATATATAGTTGTGATTGTTATCTCTTCCTGTTGGGCTGTTCCCTTACCAGTATGTAGTGACCTTTTTTGCCTCTTCTGATAAGTTTTGGCTTGAAGTCCACTTTATCTGAAAATAGGATAGCTACTCCTGCTTGTTTTCAGTCTCCCATTTCATGAAAACTTTTCCATCCTTTGATCAATTTTAGTCTGTAAATTTCTTTTTGGGTTAAATGTATTTCTTGTATACAGCATATCATTATTTGGGGTTTTGTTTTTTGTTCCCTTCTGCCAATCTATGTCTTTTGACTGGGGAGTCAAGACAATTCACACTGAAAGTTATTACTGAATCAGATTGATTCAGTCCTACCATTGCATTATTTTTCTGTTGCTGATTTTTTTTTTTTTTTTTTTTTTACTCCCTTCTGCTTAACTACTTACCCTGCCTGGTATATTCATTCCATTAGACTGTTCGTCATTGTTGGTTTTATTGTCTCTGTTAAGGATATCCTTGAGAATTTTTGGAATGCTGGCTTGGTGGTCATGTATTTCTTAAGATGCTCTTTGTTATGGAAAGACCTTATTTCTCCATCAACTTTGAAAGTTAATTTTGCAAGCTGTATCAATCTAGGTTGGAAATTGTTTTCTTTTAGGGCTTGCAGCACTTCATATCAAACTCTCCTGACCTTTAAAGTTTATGGTGAGAAGTCTGCCATAATTCTAGTTATTTTACCTTATAAGTGATTTGTTGCTTCTAATAGCTTTTAAGATTCTGTCCTTCTATTGGACTTCTGGGATTTTGACTATTATGTGTCATGTCGAAGCTTCTGATCATGGCTGTTGGAGGTTCTGTATGCATCACTTATCTGTACATTAAATTCTTTCTCCATATTTGGGAAATTTCCTGCCATTATTTCTGTAAATATGTTTTTATGCCATTTGAACTATCTTCTGGTTTTTTACGAATTCCAGTTATTATCAGAGTAGTCTTCTTTGCATCATCTAGCAGCTGTTAGACACATTTTTCATAGTCTACTGTTTTTAAGGTATCTCTGAGATACTGTCTTCTAGTCCTGACACTCTATCCTCACATTGGTCACTTCTGCTACCAACACTTTTAATGGAATTTATCTCTCTGATTTCTGTTTATTACCTTTTCATGAACTCTAATTCTTTTCTAAGTTGGTTATTCTTGTTTGTATCATTTTGTTTAGCTCAGCTACCTTTTTATTAGTAACTTCTGTAAGTTCAATGATCATTTTATTAAGTCCATTATCTGTTTAGTTATATCATCTTCAAGCTCACTGAGCACCTTATTGATCTAGTTTTTGTTTTGTTTTATTTTGGGGTGTTTTTGTTTGCTTTGTCTCCTTTTTTACTATTTGTATAGTTCAGCTGTTTGGCTTTTTATTTCCTCTCCATTGATGCCTTATGGAGAAGTTTTGGGGGAATTGGGAATTTATGGAGACATTTTATTGCCTTGTCTTTTCATATTTTGTGTGTGTATGCATGCACATGTGTGCAGAGGTTTGCAGGACCATTATAGTGGAGAGACTTTGTATCTAGTATGGAGATCTTTTTAGTTAGTATTTGTTTTCAGTGATGTACTCTTGGCATGACTGACTATGGGCTTTTCTTCTGTCCTAAGATCCAATCACCTCTGTTAATTTGGGAGGGGAAGGTACAGTGTAACTGGCCTAGCACCCAGTTCTCTGAAAATGTACTGCCGTAGGAGCAACTGTGCCACTGTAGCAATGGCAACAAAATCAGCAACATAATGGAATCAGAGACAAACTGGATATTGACATACCATAAGAACCAATAAAAGCTACCATGTACCAGCCTTAACAACAGAAAAGAGATCTATAATTATCATATAGACACAGAGGTAAACCAAACGTTGACATATCTGCTAAATGCAACAACTATACCACCATTAACAGTAGAAAAGAATTCAACAATAATAGCATAGAATTAACCAAGTAGCTAAAGATTAATAAAGCTTAATAGTAACACTAGGAGATATGGAGGGTGTAGGGAATGGGAAAATGAAAGAAGTAAAATTTGCAAAATAAAAGGAAGATGAGAAGGAAGAGAGAAAAGTGAGATAAAGGATCCTATTAAAGGATATAAGAAAATCAATAGAATTAAATACAAGTAACAAAAGAACAAATAAGAAAAAAAAGTGAGAGAGCAAAATAAAGGGAAAAAGTCAAAAGAAAAGACCGCTGAGCTCTGTGCTTGATGTAGGCAGCAGGACAGGTCTTCAAGCAGACCACTAGACTTAGTGCTGGCGCTTTCAGACCAAACCACCTCTGAAACTCACAAACAAGCAGGTGGCTTCTCACTATGGAGTATGAGCCCCTGTGTCCTCCTTGGCTTGAGCTTAAACTTGCTCGGGAGGTGTGTGTCTAGCCCGTGCCCTCTCTACTACTGTCCCTTATGGCCATCTCCCACCTGGTCACTGTGGTAGGGTGACACCAGAGACCCTGAAGTATTCTGTAGTTCAGTTTTAAATAGTTAACCCCTCCCAGAATGGCTTCCAATTAAACCGTCTTCAATATGGCAGATGCTGAGGTAGATTTCTTCTCCAACTCTAGCCTTCCATGCAGAAAAATAACTTTCATAGTAAAACAGTGCTATTTCTGCAGTTTACAGTATCCACAGGCTTTTCTAGAATGTAGCCTTGCCAGCCAGGTCTCTTATTTCTTTCTGGAGCTGCTGATCCTCTCTGAATTTACCTTGTATCTGTAGAGACAGGTCTTCCTCCCTGGGAGCTACGGTAAGCTTTCCAGGCTGCTTCATCCTTTTGTTTGCATTATATTGTGTTTCTCTAGCTTTCCAGTCAATTTCAGTTTTCCTGTCAGCTCCCTCCCATTTCCTGGAGATCTGCTTTTTTTTTTCCTTCACCAGGTTGTTGTTTTCCAGGTGTTGGTTCCAGGTCCTGGAGAGGCTATATTTTTGCTACGTCTCTACTTTGCCACTTTTATTCCTGTCCGTTCCAAGTATTTTAAAATTGTTTGAGTCAAAAGAAGCACAGAAACTAAGCAACTAGAAAATAAACTACAAAGAATTGGAGTGAATGATGTTTAGTTGTGAGCAATTTGAATAGAAGGGGAGTGATTTTATAAAGCAAGGCTTACAGATAGGTAGACGGTTGTAGTAACAAGAAATAGCTTCTGGAGATAGCATAAGCAGAAAAGCCTACGGGGGAGGCGACACGCGACGAAAAGTAAAGCAGCTGGTTGACCCATGTGGATATCAGCATTGGAAGCTGGGGGAAAATCTGTTGCTTCAATTCAGTGTTTCTGCGCATAGAAAATGAAGAAGCCAACAAAGGATCCTTCCATGAAAAATGTGCATCCGCTTTCTTTTAAATAGCAAGCAGAGGTTGAAGACATTTCACACTGACATTTTTCAAGTGACTGTGTCCTAAGCTGTATCCCTGAATCCTCTTGTCCTGGTTGTTAATGCCTTAGGAAGGCCAGGCCAGTCTTCGTGGAACAATACTGTTCTTCTAAGAAAAATGGGAAGTAACACTTTACAACTTAAAAAGTGGTTGTACACCCCACTTACACTAATGCTAAATATTGAAATGATTGATAGAGTCCTTACAAGAAAATAGCAGGGCTTGTATATGGTTAAAAGGACACATTCCAGTGTTCACAGTGGCAATACAGTCAACACTCCTATAGCTTTGAACTAGAAAATATACCCCTCAATAATTGGAAGTTACGCTGGGAACTATGGAGTCCTGAGGGGCAAGATTGTGTTTATGCTTCATTCTATGTCAGGTACAATGTGAAATGTTTTCTGGCCCAAAGCCTTGATTGTACTATTTAAATTAATGATGCTATAGAGAATCTCTGTACTATACTGTACTAGACATACTGGTATATCTAGTATAGTATACTAGAATACTATACTATTCTTCTATAGAATAGAAGGTAGTATTTTTATACTGCTTTATTTGATGTTTTAAGAAAAAGAGACACCAGCATCATTGCTGCTCTCTTTTTGCTATCCCTCTTACTGTGTTAGCAATTGCATAGCCGGTTAGATTAATGGATGATGATGAGTCAGTATTTGAAATGATGAGGCTTGTCTCTTGCCTCTTTCTCTATGAAATTCTAATTTGTGGTGAGTGGCTCAGAACACTCAGATTTGAATTATTCTGTTTATGCAAGATGTCCTTTATTAAATAAAGATGATATTAGTAATTTTTAAAGCAGTGGTTTGCATCAGCTTTACTTTTTGGCTTATAGACGTAAAAGGTTTAGCTACTTTGATGAAAGATATTCAGCAACTCCCCTGCTAATGGAAGAAAAATCTCCAATCCACCCCTTATTTATGGAGTAGTTTCTGTAATAGTTTATTATTGAAAAGCATTAGATCACATGTTTTTAAAACTATTACTTCTTAAGCAAATATATAACCTTTTAACTGTCCACGCATCTAAGAGCTTCTAGGTCTTCCGGACTGATGCTGTTGGTAATCATTTGAATTTGATTTATACCCATATGTAGTTCATATCAGAGAAGTTTAAGAAATTGTCCTTTGTTCATGAAAACCTATTAAAAAATTAGCCATCAACTGGTTGGATAAGAAGCAACCAGATATGTTCTTCTAAAAACTCTAATCTTATTTTACATCCAAAATGAAGTGTCTTTCTTTTTTTTTTCCATTTCAGTGTAAAACCTGCTCTGAGCCAAAGCAGATAACCAGTTCATCTGCCATCTATGACAACCCTAATCTCATCAAACCAATCCCAGTGAAGCCCAGGGGCAGCCAGCAGCAACACATACCTCCTGGCAAGGTACACGGCCTCTGCACAAGTTCTCAAGAACCTCCACCCACAGTGCACCGGGGGAGTGCCTGGTGCGGTTGTAGGGTGTTTAAGAGAGATTCCAAATGAAAGAGTCCACATTATTAAGGATTCACTTTTCTTAGAAGGGTTAAAATTTTTACTCTAGATAAATCTTGTAGACTTGAACACCTTAAAAGATATTGTATTTTTAGGGGCTGAGGATTTAGTTCAGCGGCACAGCGCCTGCCTGGCAAGCGCAAGTCATGAGTTCGATTCCCAGTACCGGAAACAAACCAAAAAATAAAAAAGATGTTGTATTTTTAAAAATCACAGACAACTGATCAGAAGGTCAGAGGTGACAGAAACATTACTCATTGGGTCCATATTCTTCTAGAGTAGGCAGTTCCCAAGGCCACTGAAAAAAGCAACCAACTGGGCCGCAAAATCTAATGTGACATTTTTGAGCACCCCTTTGTGTGTGTAGGATGGGATGCCGACTCTCAGTGAGATCAGGGTAAATGCCAGTATAAAACTTCCCTGTAGACCTAGCGACTTGTCATTGTATTTGCCCTCTAAAATATAAATGTTACAGCAGCTTTTATATCACTGTGTACATATATTATATGTATGTATTTCAGAATAGTACAGCAATAGCAAAGCTTGCTAATCTGCAGGCCCCACTATTGATTGTAAATATAATGTGTCTGTGTATTTTATATGGTCATTCCTAATTAAAGGGGTTTTCTTTCAAAGAACTAGTTTAAATGAATTCTGAAAATGCACATGGAGCCAAAAGGAGTAAAGACTAGCTAATGAAGGTCTTGTATTGAATTTTTCAAAAAAGAAGTCCTTTCTAATTCTTTTAGTTTGCTTCTATTGCTTTCCATGGAGTTTTTATTATATTTTAATAGAAAAACCAGAATATATTGACTTTAGAATGGAGCTCATGTTTTCTTAGTGTAACCGTGGAGAAGGCAGCAGAAGCAGGTAGAGTTACACAGAGCAGAGAGAAAGGAGCCATGTAACTGCTGGGCCGTGATGGATTGTATGTATCTGGTGATTTCTTTAAAGGCCACTGGTGAACTGTTGAAAAGAGCAAGTTGGATTAAATGACATAGCTTTCTTTCCAGCCCTGGGTTTCCAGCATTCTGTGAAAAGCCTCACTCGGGACCCTCATCTGTGCTCTTGCGCGCTCTCAGTGCCTCTTGCACTCTGCAGGCTTGGGTGCACTTGTAGAGGCGGCTTACCTTTCAGCATACATAGTTTTACACCGTAGTGGTCCCCAGTCTGTGGACCCCAGGGCTCCCCAGAGTCACATGCCTATTTTATCAGCCAAGAGATATCAAAATATAACAACTCTCTCGGGGGTGGCACAGGAGAATGCTATGAGAATCTTTAACATTAGAAAGGGAGTCTCAGATTTTTCAGTTTTATATCTTTTGTCTCCTCTAATCGATCGTCTGCAAACAGAATAAATCATTGGGTAAGTTATACTTAATAGCCCCACCATAACAAAATCGTGTGTGGACCTATTTTCAGATATCTTTATTTTTTTTTCAGACTTCAGATCCTGAACCCCAACACTTATCCCTGATAACCCTGTTTGGAAAGCAAAACAAAGCTACCAACCAGGAAACTGTGGATCCCCAGCAGCAGCGAGAGAAGCTTCCAGTCCGGCAGGGCATCGTGCGCTCCCTCTCCTACGAGGAGCCCAGAAGGCTCTCGCCCCCTGTGGAGAAGCAGCTGTGTCCAGCCATTCAGAAACTCATGGTCAGGAGTGTGGACCTGCAGCCGCTGTCAGAGCTGCCTGAACAGCGGCCCTGTGAGAATGGCGGCGCCCATCCTGCAGGGGAAGTTGCTGCTGTACTCACCCAGCAAGAGTCTCCCCATAACATCGGAACTATGCATGCTGGACACAGTGCTTCTGGGACCCAGAACTTGTTAGAGAAGCTCCAGAGTGCCCCGGAACCAGCAGCCAAGCATGATGCCAGCACACCTGCACCCACCAATCTGGCTGCCCCTGGTACCCACAGAGCCCTCTCTGCTGCTGCCCCTGTGGCTGCAGTTCAGGGTCTGGCCCAGCCGCAGCTGGTATATTTCAGTAGCTCTCTTGCACCTCAGATGCTAGGACATGAGGCTCACAGTAAGGGACAGTACACATTGCCGAGACAAACGCTGCCTCTGGTTGGCAATCAGACAAGCAGCCCTGGGGTGGTCTCCCCTCAGGAGCTGCTAAGCAGGCTCCAGGTGGTGCAGCAGGAGCAGCAGCTGCAGGCAGCTCCCCGGCCAGCCCTGGCAGCCAAGTTCCCTGCCGTGACCCAGAGCTGCAGGGCAGGGAAACCCTTGGAGTCCTGGATCAGCAACACATCCAGCACAGAGAAGCAGGCTCCTCTTCTGCAGGTAAATGTCAACTGGGGAGAGAGGGTGGGGTGGTAATGTGAAATTTATGGTCCGCTTCTCGGCTCTCAGGGGCCACGAATCACACACATTTCTGTTTAGAATAGGGTACCCAAAGCCACCTCTGTGAATCTTGTTTTCTATCACTTTCCCATTCTTCCTGGAAGAAGAACCTTCCCTTTGCTTCCCGGTCTAGGACTTCCCCCCTTTGGAGTTACTTTATTTATAGAGTTAAATCTATATAATTTATAAGGCCCAAAGACCAGTACAGATGTAGAAAAATCCCTAGTCTTTGACTATGGAAATTTATGATGGTCTGCTTTAAAATCACTCTGTGATATCAGACATCTGACTTCTTGTTTCTTACCGCAGTTCGTTATTGCTTGTTCATTGATTTAGTAAATGTTTTGAGTACTTCCTACATCTTAGGCATTGTGCTACACTATGATGATGAAAACAGACCTTCTACCTCCTCAGAGCCCACAGTCCTGTACCTTCATGAGGCAACCAGAAAATACCTAATAAAGGGGCTGGGGATTTAGCTCAGCGGCAAAGCGCCTGCCTGGCAAGCGCAAGGTTGTGAGTTCGGTTCCTGGTACCGGAGAAAAACCAAAACCAAAAAAAAAACAAAACAAAAATACCTAATAAAGATAGAGGCTATTTTGCTTGACCTCTGGATCATTAGTATAACTTAATGAAGGTCAGGGGAAGGGTGAGTATGTCACCTACCTCCATTCTTCCCAAAAGAACTGCCAGAGCAGCAAAAATTCAAATGAAGTTTGATCAAAATAGGTAGTGAATGTTTGAATTTTTAAAATTCATTATAATAAAAGGCGCATTGTCATTAATCCGCCTCACAATACCCCTCACTTCAAATACACTTATCCCGTCATTCTTGCCACTTTCTGAGGCTGTTTTGGAAATCCTCTTTCATGAGTGTCTTTATAAGATATGATCAAAAATACAGGGAATGCTGCTGCTGATTGCCAGCCAATGCAAAGTCAGGCTTGTAAAAACATCACAGTGTGTCCTCATCCACTTTATGCACTAGACCTGGCACTGTGACTTCTGGGTCTTCCCCAAAGTAAAAATGACTATGAAAGGTAAAGATTTTGAATTGATTCAGGAAGCTGAGGTAGCCACAACAGCACAACAAAAGATACAAAACAAAACTTACAGAATTGCTTCAGAAAGTGACAGAAGTATGGATATGTCCAAAACTAGGGAGAGTATCACGAGGAGATTAATAACTGCATCCCTTTTACTGTAATATATTTTTAAACAATTAAATATTCACCATGTTTTTCAGTCATACCTTATAAGTGATCTCTCCAGGAAGATGGAGCTCTCTATCCATCAGTAACTGGAAACAGCGAGAAAACCACATTGCTGTTGGTCATCTGCCTGCGGGAATCGCTGGAGATCTGACCTAGCCTCATTTTCCCTTGGATTGGGGCAAATTTACTGAGTTTTAAATTGGACAGTTCTCCCTACTTATTATGTGTAATACCATTGGTCTTTTTGACAGGTTTTGTCACATGGCTTATAACAGTTCTTCAGAAATTGTTTTACTTTTTTAAAACCAGAGATCTTAGGCATGTTCTGTGTATGTACAAATCTGAATCAAGGTATTGATTCATTTCTTTCCTTTAAAATTCCAAGTCTGAGTGCCTTCTGCTGTAGAGACGGTACCTCATTTTGCAAGTCTGAGGCACAGACAGAGTCTTGCCTTCATTCTAATGTAATATTGTCCCCCACCCTTTAAAAACATGTCTTTTCTCACTCTGGTGATTTAGGATCAGAAATTTGGGATTAATAGGCTGACTTTAAATTTCTGCATACATAATTCTCTTTTCAGTAGTCACAAATGTCAAGAGCCAAGTAAGGAAAGTGTACATCCTGCCAGCCCACGCTGTGCTCCTCCTGGTGCTGTGGCTCCTGCTCTGTGGAGTGTCAGTTCTCAGCACCTCTCCTGAAAATATCAGGGACAAGCGAAAAGCAACAAACCACCTGTCTTCCTCTAGGCCAGCTTCTGCCCCAGAAGATACTCAGGGAGAGATTACCATATTCCAGGAACTTCTAGACAGCTTGCTTCTCTGCCCACTTCAGCTGAGTTCTGTGGGGTTCCCTGAGGCTGAAAAGTAGCATTCCTCTCACCTGAGCTGGAAAAGCTGTAGGAGTCAGTCAGATAGGGATCAGAATGTCACTTATATAAGTGGAACAGCCATAGGAGAACTTGGTTTTAGGCTGTCAGCCCAGCAAGGTAGACAGATCCCCCCAAGCAGGTCAGTGGCAGCACCCCAGCAAGCAGCTTTAGGGTACCTGTGCCCAGCACGGCAGCCGGGAGGAGCAGAAACACAGCAGGTCCAATCGGAGAGAAACAGAAGGGTGGACCCTGTAAGTCAGGTTCCCTCCGGTGACAAGGTGACAAGCGCGGAAGGCAGCAGAAGGCGAGAGGGTTGCTGCCCTCTTCACAGACAGCCAGGCTGGAGACGTGCGCGCCCCACGAGGACACACTGCCACTTGCGGCTTGACCTCCAGCTCGGGGAGGACAGCCAGCAGCCCTGGTTCATGTTGCCAGATAATGAGGAGAAACCCAAAACATAAACCACCGCTCTAGAGGCCAGGCTGTACGCATGGGCAGCAGTCGCCGAGAGGGAGACCGCGTAGAGAGCCGAGCGGGGGAGCAGCTGTTCCAGCAGCTTTCCCACCAAGGAGACCTATGGACAGTTAGCACCCGGCTCCCCGGTGCCCACTGCTGTGTGGGAGCACCTCTGCTTCCCTGCGCTTGGCTCCTTAATCCTGCTTTCTGTGTCTTTGCTGTGAGCAGGTCATCTCGCCTCAGCACGTCCCAGCTACAGTGGCTCCTTCCGTGCTCATGTCCCCCATGATATTCACGCAAGCCACCTGTGCCCCACCAAGGGAGAGAGATGGCGGGCTGCTGCCCCTGCAGAGCCCAGAGCCCTCCGTGGTCGCCAGCAGCCCACTCACCAGGCCACAACTCCAGGAAGCACTGCTGTACCTCATCCAGGTGAGGGGGCCGCCACGTCTTCTTCTCACCTTCCCAGACTTGTGGTTGTGAGATTCTCAGGCAGCTGCTGCCTGCTTAGTGTCCTGTGCCAGGAAGAGGGAGTGCGTAACCATTCACCCTCCACCCCAGCAAGTCCTGAGCTCATGGAGCTGGACGACATTTAGAACACGAGCAGTGGCTTTGGGCGTCTCAGCCCGTTGGGGGATTTGTAACTTGGAGGATGAGCTGAGGCCTTCAGGCCCTCAGCCCTCAGACAAGAAGGAACCCCGCACGGGTGAGCGGGCGTGCACTGAGGGCACGCTGGGTACTGTGTACCCATGCAGAGCACTTGGGTCTCTTCTGCTGTCAAAAGAGTCCCAGGGGCCACAGTGGGCAGCCTGTGGGGCACAGGGGGAAGCAAGAGCTGGCAGTGACTGCTGTAGGGAGTCTGCACATGGCTTCGAAACCTGTGAATTAGGACAAGATGGAAAGCCTGGACTCCTTGGCAGCTGCTTGTCTATGAAATAATAATAATAATAATAACAGCAACAACAACAAGAAGAGCTGACATACAGTTTTATGCCAGGCACTGCTTTTCTTCCATTTATTTTTGGCAGTATTAAGGATTGAACTCAGGGCCTTTGCACTGAACTGTGTCCCCACCCTGTTAAAAATGTTTTTCAGACAGTCTTGCTAAGTAGCTGAATTGCCCAGGATGGTCTCAGACATGCCATCTTCCTGTCTTGGCCTCCCAAAGTGCTGGGATCACAAGTGTGTCCCACAGTGTCTGGCAGCCAGCCTCTATTTTAAGCACTTGATACACTAACTCATTCAGTCCTTATACGAAACACCGTTACTTCTCCTAATTTACAGACAAGGACACTGGCGTTAAGTGACTGCCCTGAGGTTGCAGAAGCAGTAAATACATAGAGCTGGGGTCATACCTGGTCTGGCTCCAGAGTGTGCCCCGCCACTGCACCGTACTCTTACCCCGTGAGTCTTACAGGGCCAGCCGCTGCATCTTGCAGAGCGCGCCCAAGAAATCAATGATGGGCCTTGGAAAGGGGAAGACTCTCAGGCAGACAGACTTCAGACATCTCAGTTACCATGTTTACATATCTTTTTGTTAGACAGTCTTTAATAAAATGTTTGTGGTACTTTGCTTAAGCATCTGGTGCCTTTTAGAATGTAACCTAGCCCTTTTGCAGTCACCTCATCCTACTTAAAAAGATAACAGAGTCTTAGTAAAAACATTTTTTAAAAAGATATATTGTAAGAATGAAAGGACTGGGCTTGATGACATATGCCTGTAATCCCAGCACCTGGGAGGCAGAGGTGGGAGAATTACCACGAGCTCGAGGCCAGCCTGGACTACATAGGGAGACCCTGTTTCTAAAAAAAAAAAAAAAAAAAAAGGATGAAAGGAATGGGGCTGAAAGTCAGCATCTGCATTTGAAAACATAATAATCTCATGGAAATAAGACCAGCAACAAATGACTGAACCATACTAATGTATAAATAAACGCCAATATTTAACAATGTTGTTATATATTTATATATTAACAACATAGCAGTATTTTCTACTCTTTAAAACTATTATGATAAGTCCATGAGAATTTAGAGAGACCATCTGCAAACTTTACTGTAAACAATGAAAAGAAAAATAAGATTAAGGTTGAGTTTCAAAGATCTGTAGCTTTTCTGGTTCGTTCCATACAGGTCACATTGTCCCGAGATTCTTTGCATGGCTACTTACAAATTCTGTTCCTGTTGCCTCCACTCCCTGCATACGTTTTACTTTTTCCCATGTTCTAGTCATTGTTGTCCTGCTGCGCTGTAGAAGTCACCCAGGCAGTCTGTTTTCAGTCCTGTTTTAGGACGGAATCTCATGCATAGAGACTTTGTGGCTACTTCATAGGCAAAACGGGTAACATTACTCTTTCCTGCATGTGAATAATGCTAACTCTGTGTATAGTGTGAAGATGTGACATGTGGGTGAGTTGCTAAAGCTTTAAAGGATTGGAGTGGGAGGAAGAAATCTCTAGCACTGAAAATCCAGAAAGCCCCTGATTAGACCCATGATTACTGTACCTGTCACCCGGTAGCCTGGCGAAAGAGTCCAGTGACTGCCAGCCCAGCTGCTGTCTACTTGGCAAGGTCAGAAACTTTCCCCAGCTTGTGGGAAGAACGGTAGTGGCTTTGGTAAGGTACCAGTTAAGCGTATTGCAGGTGGAAGTCCTATTACTGCCCAAAACAAAATACACACATGTGGACAACTTGGAGGGCCTTTAAGGACAACCAGCAGTCTTTCACCCAACCTGGAGACACTCTGACTACGGATGCTTCCTCCTGACCCATCAGTCTGCTGGGCGTCAGTGTCTCTTCATGCAGCAGAGCCAGGTTTTCCTGAGTAAACCTTGCCGCATGCAGCCGCGTGCCGGGCTTGTCCTTCTGTGCTATCGTGAGGACTTGCTGCTTTACATAGCGATCATTGAAAACCAGCAGCTCTGTCCTGGCCTTACCTGCAGCCCCACTTAACATCCGTGCACACAGTTAGAGCCGCCTGCTGCTGAAGAGCACAAGCAGAGGTGAGCATCTCAGCATCAGATGCCAAGGCCTGGGCGGGGTGGGTGGGGGTGCGGCTCAGAGGTAGAGTGTTTGCCCAGTATGCATAAGGCCCTGGGTTCATCCTTAGTCCTAAATAAATAAATAAATATTTTTTTAAAAAATCAGATGCCAGTTCATGTCTAAGAAAGGGATCTGCTGCCTAAATTTCATTCCTTTGGGCCTTTTGCTCTTGTTTTCCAGAATGACGACAATTTCCTAAATATCATCTACGAAGCCTATTTCTTCAGCATGACACAACCAGCCATGAAAAAGACTATGTGAAAGCAAATCCTTTGAAAAGATGATTTTCAGGGTCCTTACAGATCTCCTGCATGAGGCTCTTTCATGTGAAGTGGTATGGCCTAAAATGTTTCTTCCTTTTTAAAAAAAATATTGTAATAAAAAATCAGATGTTTTTGTATAGCCAAGGGGTTCTTGTTTTTCTTTTTAAGATTCACATCCTTCAGCACACCTGGTACCAAGAATCAAGTGGGTAGAAAAAGTCTTTGTCCAGGTCACACAGAAAATGCCAAACCGAAATCATTTTTTCTTACATATATAGGGCCACCTTAAGAAGAATCGGGCTTTCCGTGGGAAGGGTTATTCTCCAAGCTGCGTTTCTTCACTTATTAATAGCTCTGGTTATTTCCGGCAGTCTCCCGGTGGAGTGTGCGGCGCCACAGCACCTGCCCACCACCAGGTGGCACTGTCACCCCACAGGTTTACCTGTGAAGACTCGGGCGCCTTTGGAAGTAATCATGGTTTTCTTTTACCAGAAAAGTAAACCTTTAATTTGTAACAATCCAGTTGGCATGTTTTACCCAGGCTTTAAAGGGAAATTATTTCTGAAAATATTTATAGCTAGTTTCTAGAGGGTGGTTTTTCTAGGAGTCAAAAAATGGCCCAGCTTTCCAGCAGCACTTCCTTTATCCCAGCTCAGCTTATTTCTTACGGACCCAAGTGGCGAGATGTGCCTGCCTGCGCTTCCAGAAGAGTGTTCTGTCCTTTTCAGCCAGGTGTGCCAAGGGAGAGGTCCCAGAGGGTCCCAGAGCCTCTCCTTAGCTTTGGAGAACAGATAGTGAATGTTCAGGAGCAGAGCTATAAGGGCCCCCAGACGGATGCCTGAGTTCGCAGAGATGAGGAGCTTAATCTTGGAAGGAGGCAGAAGTGCCCTTTCCAAGCCGTTCAGGCCGCAGAGGGTCCATATGGGAGTTAGTCCCTGCTGAGCCTTAGTAATAAATAAAGCTCTGCATTTCTATAGTCCTTTTTATTCTGGGATCATAAAAAGATCTTTAGATTACTGCTCAGCGCACAGGTTTTAGTCTCATTTTATAGATCGTAAAATGGAAGCCTGGAAGAAAAGTTTCCGGACAGTTTCTGATGCCCTGACTTGGATTTGAAGCTTTAGACCTTTGTTCAGCTGCTGCACCATCAGGCAGAGGGTTTGTCAGAACACTTTGTCCCCGCAGGAGGGAACTATTCTAAGGAGAAAAGGTGGGCAGGAAAAGAATTGACTTTTCCTGAACCCTTGTTCTGCACCATGCTTTGAGGAGTCTGCCGTGTTGTCCTCCCACGTTGGTAAGGGACAAATTCATCTGTTTCTTTGACATCTCTACGACATCCAACATAGTGAGAGCGCATGCGAAGCTGTAACGAAATGCATGAAATTAAGAATTACTTGTGTGTCTCATAAAGAATAGGGTAAAGGGAAGACATACGTGGATCTGTCATCCCCAAAACAATGATAATAGTGTTGCTTTGGCAACGCATCTACTAAAATTAAAACAAACCAAAGAGGCACTGAACTGCTGGCCAGGCTTTTTAAAACTCTGTCTAAGAGCCATGAGTGTTATCAGTAGAGCACTTGCCTAGCATGCATGAGGCCCTGGGTTCAACTCTTGGCCCCACAAAGTAAGTAATATAAAACATTAAAAATCTCTTTGAGTTTAATTAGATGGTTAAAGTTGATTCTCTAGCTAGGGAGAGATGAGTTACATTCTTAATGTTTCTAATATATTAGCCATGATGACTGGCTAGTTTTATGATTATTTCTCCTTTAACTTCAGCACCGAATAAATAAATAACAGCAATGACAGCATCTCACGTAACACAAAGGCCATGTGTGATGTGACAGGAATGAGCCCAAGCCTGACCTGGTCAGACGACACGCAGGCTTCACTAGGACCGTTTTAGGTCCTAGTGATGTGTTTTCTCTGTCCTTGCCTGGAATGAATCACTTTAAAAGAGACAGTCCCAATTCATTTAAACCAAAGACGAAGCCTTTCAAGGGGCAGGCGGGAATGGAGTACTTATTTCTTCTCTACAGCAAGGCAGATGAGAGCCGCCTTGTACAAAGGGCTTTCTCTAGAGAGTTCAAGAAATAGATCAAAAGGGTTATCTAAGGCACCCAAAGTTAGATTTCGTGTCTAAATTGACTTCTCTTCCCACTCTCATCCTGAATTCAGAGACCGTCACGGATGCCACTCCTAGGTGTGTCTGGCTCCCAGGCAGCAGTTTCGACCTAACTGATGTCAGGTGGAATTTCAGGGTGAGACACTTGTCGGTGCGACAGCTGTGAGTGTCTGCTTGGGCAGAGTTACACAGGCCAAGCTGCCCGGAGTAGGGGGCAGTGTGTAGCCTTCAAGTCAGCTGGACTTGCCTTTGGCTTCCGGCCAGCTGGGCCTTTGGAGACATTTTCTCATTTATACAGCAAAATGCCCTCCCCCAGTCTGTGAGGGCTAAGCGGGCACCACGTGCCGGGGCAGGCCTTCATGCCGGCATGTGGAGCTTAGTGCTTCCTGCCTGCAGGGTTTGCTGTTCCCAGGACTCCAGCACGGAGACCCCTGCAGCCGCCAGAGGGACTTCATCTGCGTTCACCACCACCAACTGTCAGGTCTGACCTGGCCTCTGTCTATCTGTGGCCACTTCACTGTACCGTCTTCTCGTCTTCAGTTCTCGTCAGTAAAGTGGGAACAGTGACGCATCTCTTCCTTACAAAGGAGGGGCCGCCAGCTTTCAAGCCAAGGGTATCAGCATGAACTAAAACAATTGTTGTTACTGCTCCTCAGGGTTCTGTCACTGTCACAAAAGACCTGCGATAAACCAACCTCGAGAAGGAAAGGCTTACGCGGACTCGGTTTCAGAGGTGTCAGGACACGGTGGAATCTTTTGCCTTTGGGCCTGTGGTGTCACAGGACATTATGCCGGGAAGTCTGCAGTAGAGCAGAGCCGCGCGTCTCATTGTAGTGGGAGCGGAGAGACAGAAGGGGTCGGGTCCCCGTGCGCCCTTCAAGGCCCATTCCCAATGACCTAACTTCCATTGGCCTCATCTCGTAAAGGTCCTGCCACCTCTCAATAGCATCGCAGGCTGGGGGCCGAGCCTTCCACATATTGGCCTCTGGGGGACACTGAAGGTCCCAACAGCAGCATGACCCATTCTACGAACAAAGCCAGAGAACGCAGTGCTAGTCCACAGGCTTTGCAGTCCTTGAAGAGTCTTCTAAAGAGGCATACTGCTCAGTCTCCTCATTTAGAAGGCCTGGCAGAGAGATCCTTGCACTGAGAGAGAAACCTGTGTTAGCATCTTCAAGAACTGCCTGCTGTCCATGCAGAGCTCTGCTGATACTTAGCCACCTGAGCTGGCTCCTTCCACCCTTTCAAAACAAAGGGCTAAAGGCAAACATTCCCATGCTGATCTCCTAGGAAGACACAAATCATTGGCATCTGGTAAATTCCTGCACACTCTTCATATCCCACGATGGACAGGATTCTGCTTGCTTGCTCTTGAAGAAGGGTGCAAATCAAAGAAGAAAGTTCCTCTTCCCTTAAAGAAACGCAAACTTTTGAGTGTCTAAGCTCTCTTCCGTTCCCGTGGGTGTTGAATCCAACAGTTCCCACACGTGAGGGCATCTTCCCTGATGTGTGTGATGCTGAGGCTGGGAGGTGTCGTGTCAAAAGCCTCAGCACCAGGCTCTGCTTGGGTCCAACCATATGTCAGTGCAGAGGCAGGGAAAGCAAGTGGCTGAGAAGTAAACTGTGAAGACAGATCTTCCTCTGTGGGGATGGGTGAGCAGGGATGGAGGTGTGGGGTGAAGATTTGGGAATGAGGAGTGCAGACTACGTGAAAAATAGGCTGCCTGCGCACACTTGCAATGAAGAAGACTCTTGGGCAGTGCCTCCTCTATCCAGCCAGGACCTCTTTCCCTCTTTTCAAAGGCAGCTTCGTCCCAGCTTTGGACCGCGGAGCCATCTTTAAGGTTAAATTTATCATCTGCAGCCGGCAGGTTGCAGCGACACCCCATTGTGTCACATCGGCTGGCTGCACATGGTGGTGAGCCTCCCCGTCGTTTTGCTGAATACTTGATTTTCAGATTCCAAATGTTCTGCTCCCCGCTCCCTCTTACAATTAGGGGAGTGAGAGGGGCGGATCTGAATCCTTGGTATATTTAACTCAACCTTGGATATCCCGATAGATTTTCACCAAGTTGAGTTATAACTAATGTCTTCCAACAGCTTAGAGCTTTGAGAAAAGTACACAAATAAAAACTGTGCTCAGACTGTGGTCTTAAAACATCAGAGGGGAGGCGAAAAGCAGATCCCTGTTGGCGACTCCTGTTCTCCAGGGGCCGGGCAGTGCAGGCGGCACCGTGGCTCTGACCCAGCTCTGGGCACAGCGTGGGCCAAACTTCTGGAGCAGATGAAGAGGGGAAATGTAAGAAATCCAAACCCTGACAGGGTGACTGAGGGCACAGCAGGAAGCGCGCACACGGAGTTCCAAATAATCAAGAAGAAGGGTGGGAAACTATAGAGCTGGGAGCCAAAGCCGACGCATTTCCTGGAAATCTGAGGGCTGAGACCAAAGGCACTGAGCACCTTGGAAAAGTCAAGGGCAAGTGTTCCACTGAGGGCCGCTCAAGGAAGTGGTGGGAACCCCGGCTCTAGAACAGCTGAACAACCGAAGTCTAGACATTCAGTGGTCCTATGACAGACCCTGCAGAGTCCATCCAGCTATATACACTCACAGCTCTGGAAGCTCCAGCTCCTCCGAGAGATTCATTCTCACTTCCTGCCACCTCTCTGACGGGTACTGCTAGGCTTGTCTTTTTGCAGCACACCATTTCAGGGTTCAAAGCACCAGGATGGCAATCCCAAGATCTAGGCAGCTACGAGCTCCTTATCCCACATGCAGTAGTGCCAAGAACACTGTACTTAGAGACACAAAGACCCGGATTCGAGTCCTACCACCTCCTGTCTCTTTACCATGGAAGCATTGGGAGAAAATTCTGTTCTGTAGTGCTTTACATAACAGTTCATAAATTGTCACTTGGTTCAGGACCATGCACACTCCATATTGGTGTCCTGTGAGTACCATATAGTACCCAGCCTCAAAGCTTGAATGTAGCCAGCCTCTTTTACTGCACTTATAG